TGCAAATATACAGCAGAGTACGTAGTAAATATAGAATCTGCGACAGCAAGAATGCAAGCAGCAACAGCGACAACAGAGGTACTGCTCCTAAAAACCCTGAAGTAGCCTACCCCGCCTCTCTAATGGGCCAAAAAACCACCGAAAAAGGTGGATAACTGAGGGGGGGGCGGAGTACCATATATATATATATATATGCATGCTCATGCCTTCCCCTGCCCCCCCCGGGATAGATATATATATATATATATATCTGTATATACGGTGATATATATGCGCATCAAGTGGCTACCAGTGCAAACACATTCATTGAATTTTGATGACACCTAGGCGCTAGTATGCAATTCGGTATCATTGTGAGCGGCAGCAGGGTAACCAGCAAAAAGTTCGACCAACAATTACTGATTAGACGCCTGTAGCCTAGAATTCTGCAACAGAAAGGACATACGGTGTCAATATTGAACGGCAATCAAAAGCAATGGTCAGCTTAGCCTGTAGCAGTTCATACTAACAGATCTTGATGCCACATCCGTTGAAGTTCGAATTGGCCACATAATATAAGCAAGCAACATCAGTCATGAGTCGACAGCATGCAAAGCAGACGGTGAACGAAGCATTCGCTGGCGTTCAATCATCCAGCTCCTAATGAGTACAGACATTTGACAATTCGGCACTATGTGCTCGTTGCACCGGTCTAGTAGGGGCATACCGGTGATGATACAGATGATGATGACGGTTCTGATAGGGAAGGAAAAAAGGATGATGATACACGTCATGACCCGCAAAAAGGCATTCCGTGCGCTTTGAGGGAAGGGGTGTAGCATACGAGCATCCGTAAATGTGTGTGTATATGTAGATACATATTCGCAAGCGCATACTTGGATGTGTCGCAGTTTTTGGGCGCTGCACAGGAGGGCGTGTGGAAGCGCGTCTCGACGGTGCACCGCTTGCAAGAGATCCCAAGCGCCGCAGGCTGCGGCTGTGGGGATCCGGCCGTATTATGGAGTTTCTTGTGAGGTGACAGGGGCGTGCAGGGGCAGGGGCGTGCACTGTCACAGGCGAGCTGAAGGAGGCGAGCGCGACATCTCCGGCGCCTTCCAAGGCACCGCTCGAAAGTTCGAAAGTGCAACAGAAAGAGAAAGACTGATCCTCTGCTTCGCCTTGTTTCCCTGCTCAGGTCATTGTCCTGGCTGTGATGCCGGCTTTTGGACAACCTGGGCCAATGCCGGATGCGGTGAGGTGCAGCCACCGCGTGAATATAGGTGACACACACACACCTTCGTACGAAGGAAATGATCCGGAGTTTGTTATAGTTCTCTCTTGTCAGTCACTTGCTCGCAGTGGTGCAGCGGTAAATTCAGAACCACGTGTGCCTCTCTGGAGGAGTAGAGTCTCCGTCGCACGCACCCTGCAGAGCTCGCCAAGCCCCGCGTAAATGGCTCCGGACAAATCACACCAGCACCAACACACCTCAAGCACACTTCAAACGTCATTTCAATGTCACTTCTCGTGATCACTCGGGCAAGAGAGGGAACTGGGTAAATTACATGTTTGGCAAGGATATTCCAGTCCTTCCGACACGTTGCGGCTCTTCCCGGCTTCAAGTGCTGCAGTGCCCGATGTCTCCAGTTCAGGCGTCGTGATCATTCTGTCGTTTTAGAAAACGAAGACTTCCATGCCAGCGCGTTTGGGGATTTGTGCAACACAAAGGGATGGTTAGGCGCCATTCTGGTCCAGCTGCTCGTTTGCATGGTCAATCGCATCTGATGCATCATCCTGACAAAGATCTACGTAGTTGCAGCATCCGGCCAAGTTGGACGTCAAATGTCGAGAGACTGGACCTCACTCAGAACTTTTCTTCTCGCGGTAAGGGATAAGACGGTACTGACGCAGAGATCCGGGCCTCTGGAGACTTCTTTGAGACACGTGTAGATTAAATATGTTCCTCCGCGTAAAAACTCTTGATCCATCTCGCAGGTTCCGACTTTGCGCTGTCGACCGCGGTGCAGCCCATCCTTGCCGTTGGGCAGGAAGGGGCGGCAGGCATGAGAGCAATATGCAGAGCACTATGCAGCGTCCGAGGTGGCGTCTCCGAAGCCTTCGCCGTGGCTTTCGCCGGGCGCCCAGGGCGTCACCGCTGGCGGTTGCGGTTGGCTCGGTCGCTCTCGTATGCCGCCCTCGCGAGGCTCCTCCGAGGCGCCCGCGGAGGACTCAGAGGGCGACGGAAGTGGACGGAAGTGGACAGCATCAGATGCTGTCTGCAGCTGTCTCCGTCCGTCCGTGCAGAGCAAGAAGCTGCCATAAGCGTGGGGAAGGGGGCCCACTCAGACGCCACGCTGTCTCTGTCTCTGTGAGAGATTCATTTTCATCATGCAGTCATTCTTTTTTCATTCGTCCGAGGCCTCGAATACAGCGGATCCTTTCCGACGACCGATGGACGTTGAGTCTGCAAATCGAGCTCTTCCAGAACCAGCCGCCGCCAACACCTACATGCTACCTCGGGCTGCGTCGGGAGCCTTGAATCGAAAGCATACGGCGGGGCGTGTGTGTGTGTGTGTGTATGTGTGTGTATATATATATATATATGGTCGACCATCTATGCCATGCCATGTGGTCTCGAGGCACCGGCACGGAAGACACGGAGGACGACAGCGAATGTGAGGAGGAGGAAGCGAAGGCGAGCTTGCCAAAAGTGCCGCTTCGCCTCCAAGTGCACGGGCCGAGGTAGGCCGCACCCTGATGCACCCTGAGACCTCTTTGCGCTTGCTTTGGAGGAGCTCGTCGAGCTGCGCCGGGCCCAGCTGCTACCTACGCTTCGCCCAGAGCCGGAGCCACAGGGCAGGCTGCAGGCTGCACTCTGCTGGGCGCACTGGCGCACCGTTGCACCTCAGCCTCTCTTTCTGAGTCTCAGGTCCTGGCAAGAGACGGCGCCCGGGCGCCTAGTGGGCCTAGTGGGCCTAGTACGTGAGTGCTGGCAGCAGATGCCTGCAGCTGCACGAACTGTTTCTGGCGAGTTTGGAAGCCATGCCCTGGGGCTACGGCCACCGCTTGGCGCGGCTCCTTGGGCTCCCCGAACAGCCCAGAAAGACAGAGCCTCTGGTGCTGGCCCGGAGGTCACCATGGTCCAGGCGCGCTGCTCCCTGCAGCCCCGGCCCCTGGCAGTCTGCCAAAGAAGTTCATCTTATGAAGCGGTCCCCTTCTTAAAATAGGTCCAGCCTGCTGCCCGAGCATCGTATGGACTTGGAGCGAGAGGCGCAGAGCCTCAGGGCGAAGACAAGATGCGGCGCGATGCGGCGCGGCGCGCGCAGTGCTTTGAGGTGCTGTCCTCGGAGTGGCAGCTCTCGGCGGCCCTAGAGTTGGGAGCCGCCGGGGGAGCCGCCGCCACCTTCGAGGCAGAGAAGCGGGGACGTGCGTGTGCGCATGTGTGTGTGTGTGTGTGTGCGCGCGGGTAAAGCTCTGATAGCAAAGAGTCTTCGTCTGCGGGCGGCGGGTCACTGCCCAACGAAGACACTGTCAGTGCATGGTGCTATCCGGCCTGATCATCTGGCTGAGGAGTTTGTCATGGCATCCGTGACACATGAGTCGCCAAGTCGCTTTCGTCGTTCTACCGGTTCTACCGTGGATGATGAAGCGTCTTTGAAGGGCGTGTGGTCTGTTCAGTTGCATCCCGTTTGCACGCTGTAAACATGACGCTGCACGACATGTGGCGCCTCTTTGTTTGGAAAACGGATGACTCAGAGCTGGTGCATTCAGTTTATGACTTCTGCTCCAGCTGATTTAAAACCGTTATTGACAGAGGCCCAAGCGTTGTTGTTCAAGTCTCTTAAAAGATTCGTGATCACAGACGATAGTGAAATTAGATGGAAACTCTTGTTTCTCTGGCATCAGCGTCATTGCTGGAGGGTCCACGGTGGAAGCTTTCGGATCTTGGTCATGAGTGTTTGGTGCAATGTGTTACACAACGAGCATCAACTTTTGGCATCTGTTGGCCAGATCCACAGGGCCTTAATCTGAGGCAACCTTATTCCACGGCACAGCATCTTCAAGACAAGGGCTGGTCGCATGACGTCGTTACACGCCAACGACACAACGAGCTAACAAGACGAAGTATGCTCACATGCTAGCTGCTGAGCCCAAGGTCCGGTTCGCACGTGTGGGTTGCGAGACAGCTTGCCCGACCAAGATGATGATCTACAGAAGGTCCCATATGGACAAACATGTCAAAAGCCACCGGGTTTTGTTGGGTTTGGAAGCTGAAGCAGAGGCTGCTGTCAGGCCATGCAGAGCAAGGTTTCATCACTGGGCCGAGGATGCTGCTTGGGAGGAGCCTGAGCCCAATCCTGCTCCGACTCCGCGGCCGCGGCCCAAAAGGCGACTTGCAAGCAGGGTTTCTAAGGGACGACGATGCTGTTGATAATGTTTGTATGGAGGAGCGAGACCACGATGCTGCTGATGATGCTGAGCCAAGCTCTCGAGACTCCGATCCCGAGTCCATTCCTGTTGTAGCTCGTCATCGTCATCAGGATCATCTTCAAGCAGTTCTTTGTCTAGCTCAAACAGCAGCAACAGTTCCGGAGCGTCCCGGTCGACAGCACACCAGCAGGGCTAGTACCCCAAGCAGAAGCAGTTGCAGCAGCTGCAGCCGCAGCCCCAGCATCCCTCCCAGCCAAAAGGGCCCGAACGATGCACCGATCACAGCACTGGGGCGGTCATATCATCATGCCGGGTGGTCCAGTTGGTCAAGAACCAAAACATTTTCAAATTAAGTGCGGCTGGCCTGGCCGCAAACCCGGAGCACGCTTGCACCAAGAAACGGTCAATGCACTTCGGTGGCCGTGAGAAGTCCTTCACTGCCGGAAGTACTGGGCAGCTTTAGACAATACGTGCGCAGCTGCGGAAGATCATTCGCAGCTGTGGAATGTAGAAGGTCTTCGAATTCCAAAGTGGACAGATGGGAGGCTGCCCCCCGTAGAAGATTTGAACAGCTCTGTGGAAGATAACTGATTTTACCGCAATTGCCGCTATCGAGTCTGTTGACAGAAGCTCCATCGGCTCCGGACGGCTCCGGCACCGAAGTAGGATCGAGCTGACCATTCCCTGATGCCCCCAAACTCATGGAAGAGTCTGGGGCAATCAGCTGAATGTCACCCACCATCTCCGCTACACGGACACCAATCCCATGCCTGAACTGCAGGGCGCGGCAGAAAGCAAGTAGCGCACGGCCGTTGGATTTCACTCAACAGGATGATCCCCATAAGCCTTCATTGCACCAACGAGCAGTTGCAACTGCTCCTGTAAATCTGACCGGATCTTCCATGTGCGGTGAAGCTGAAGGCCTTCGCGTGAAATCTTCACAGTTCAGACTTGCGCTCGCCCTGAGGCTTCTTCGCTGGCGTATTGACTTGGGGGCCATTCGCAAGATCTTTTGCCTGGGCCGGCGATATCACGAAATGATCATCATCAAGGACAAGTTCTTGGCGGGCAAGATGCTCTTGACACAAGGGACATGGGGCCAACAAACTTCTGCTGCTGTTGCAAGACCTCTCACCTACTTCAGCCGCGGGTTGAAGACAAGTTTTCAGTTTTCAGGGTCCACGCAAAATTTATTGCACGATGAAGCTGCAACTGCACTCAACATGTGCAACATCAGGCCAAGCGTCCTCCTCTCACTCGCGCGAATTTTGCAAAGTCCACCAAACCCTTTTTTCATCTTTGGCGGGTTTTCAAGGGCGACCTGGGCAACTTCTGTGCCCGCTTCATGATCAGTCTTCATGGGTTCATCGAAAGTTTCCGCCTGCTCCTGCGTGACATCCTTCCGTGTCTTCCCAAGCTCGCTTGTGATGGTAAAGCGAACACAATACTTGCTGTGGCTTTTTTGTTTGGCCCCTTTCCACGGCTGCCTGCTGGCTTTGATCCCTGTCTTCCTCCTTTCTCCTTTCCACCCCTGCCCCTGCCACGGCCATTGCCCTGGCATTTAGGCTCTTCAAGAAGTTCAGGCTATTTTGGCGACTCTTCAAAACCATCGAAAGGAGCATCCATGGTTGGCGAAGCCCACAGCAAACACAACAGCATTTAGGACAACAAATGCAACATGACATGACAGCAGCAGCGGACCAATACACGGAAAATTTGGTGGCCTACAAATCTCGTGGGTGGGAAGGGAGGGTGTGAAAAAACCAACGGACGTTTCCCTACTGGTCTGGAATGCGTCAATGTATCGATTCAGGAAATGACACAACTCAGATGCAGTCAGCTCCATTTTCCTTGACCCACTTGAGCCAATCGCGCGCTTGAGCCAATACCGCATAGGGTACCAAGGCTGTGTGGAAATGACGGTCATATCTAACACGGTCCCTTGGTCAATGCCTATTTGGGCAATGCCCACAAACATCAAGAGTCATTTCTACCATCAATGTAATGATCAATACAATCGGAAGACAAACAAAAAATTCACAATTCCATCAGGCTCAGAAATCCTAGCGCAGGTGACCAACGCAAGCTTTGCAGATCACTTAAGCAATCAGCTCAGTTCACTTTTGTGTACTCAAGTGACAATGTTGGTGCGGAGTCTGTGCAATTGCAAATCCAATGTCGTCATCCAGAATGAATCGTCGGTATACAGAGGGTTGCAATGACGCATCACATGAAAAACTTGTTGCAGTTGTTCCAGCAATGCGCAGCTTTAAGAATGATCCATCCGATCAATAAACGAAGCAGATGAAAATTTGCCAGTCAATGCATTGAAGGGCTGCAATATTCATTCAACCGCAAAGAAAGTAAAATGTCCAATCTGCTTGGGATACGGCAATCCTGCTCCCAACCGCCCTGCCCAGAATGGGTCGTGGGATCAATGTTGCACACATGCCAATCCAGACAACGTCGTTCCAGCCAATGCACAACAAACAAGATTTGCCAATGTTCTCTGGCAATTCTCAGAATGCCTTCCTTTTGCGAGCAATCTCAGTGGCTGCACCAACCAGCACCCGATATTAATTCCTCATCAGCCAATGCACCGCCACTTGAATCTCCACCGTGGCTGTAGCTTTCAATGTCCTTCGCATCAATTTCGGTGGAGTCGGGGTTCAATGTGGCCATGTCTGGAATTCCTTCGATTTGCCTCATGACCAATGGAAAACAGCAATGCCTATGCAAGCCCTCCCTGGGGATATGATGGGCAAATGCTGCTCCGTGAACGATGCTCACCATTCTCTTGACACGGAATCCTACTGTTTCCAATACCACCAAGGTCCTTCGACACAAGTCGTGCAATGCACACATGTGGTTCTCGCAATGCAGTGTTGTAACCCAAGAGCATCCAATGAAGCTGCAATTATGGAATTTTGCAAAACCTCCACTGCCAGAGGGGTGCTTCAATTCCGTTGACAAATCAGCCATCAATGGTCTGTAGCAGAGAATCTTGGTTGATACTCCCAATTCCTCCTCTGTGAAAATCCCTTGACGACACCAGTGTGCCATCTTGCGAAGGGCGCCTTCAATGGTGAAATCCGGATTGGCTTGTCCCATTGGAAATGGCATTCTTGTGGATGCTCTTGATACAATCGCCTCTACCAAAGTTCTCGGTGTATAGTGCCAAACACACGCAGAAATCTGCTAATTGTCATCGTTTAATCTCTCCATTGGCTTGAAGAGGGTCACAGCAATCTTTCGACGAAATATGTTCTGCAATTGTTCGAAACAGTCTGCAACTCGTTCGAAAATCATGAAATGCAAAACGACGTTGAACATGGGACTGTCTTCACCCATAGTTCCTCCAGCCAACGTGTGCTCAATGATCCTGCGACAGAGATCAAGCAATGCCAACATGGCGTACTCCGGAGGACCACAATGGCCTGTGAAGCCTTCGGGACGCATGATGCGGCAATGCTTAACTCCAGCCCAGCCGATCGGAATCTCAACCGTTGGTAATGAATGTTGCACGTGGACAATCCTCTTGCAGATATCAAAGAACGCACGCTCTATGCAGACCGGAATTTCAACAAGGGTTCCCAAGTTCATGGAACGCAGGTTGTCTCGACCAATGAACACATACTTGTCCATGATGTGCAACAAATCGGTCAATGAGGCGAACCCGTTGAGCGCGCAGGGTGCATCGACTGCCCCAGCTCCAGCGGCGCCTCCGGGTGTCATTGGGACAGAGGAGCAATGGGAGAACCTATTGCCTCCTTTCGAGTCTTCCAGGAGATTATCTTGGGCATTAACAGTCATCGCTACGAGCCACACCATCATCTACGATGGAATGAGGCGAGCATTCATCTGAAGCTCACGATTGCCTTGGCCACATTTTGGGCTATTTGGGACGAATGGAGTCCACATTGGAGCATGGCAATCCGAGCTGATAGTGTGCAGTCGCACAATGTGTTCCTTCAATGCTCAGCGAGCAAAACCTAGGTGCAATCGCATCCTGAAGCAATCGCAAAGTACAGCACAAACACAGTACACGCACTCCAGACATTATGTACAATCCATGCGCCAGAGCAAAGACATGTTCAAATCAATTTGTAAGACTTTATTTCCGACAATCTTCAACCAGAGAATCTGGTTGTGTCCGAGACATGAGTGTTCGGTACAATTTGCCGTGTTTATCCACACTATTGACAACGATGCCATGCATCAGCGGACCGAGCTAGTCGCTCTTGCCTTCGCTGCTTGCAATTCAACTCATGAGCGACAGTTGACAATGATTCATCAGAATCCTATGCAATCCTTCCTAAAATCCTTCACGCCAAGAACCCTTCCTCTCCTTCATGACCTCTGAAACACAATGACACCCAACATGCACATGCGCTTGCACCGCGCAGTCAATTCTCTCAAGTCTCTTCTTTCTTTATTTTGGCTCGCGACATCAGGTCCGAAAGTTACGTACCGATCGCAATCCGAGCGCAAGACGGTCCCTCAAATGAGACCAGCACGCCAATTCAAACGAACCTGATGCAACAATTTTTTTTGTTTTCTGAATAACGCAATCAACTCAACCAAGCTCAACTCAGCGACATGTCCGTCACCAAGGATTTCAAAATCAAGTTAATGACAGACGTCGATTGACAATAAAATATGGGCAACGCGTTTCTCACTGAATGTCGGTCGTCCAATGCCGAGGCAGTTGAGATGCCAAGATAGCAAATCAGTGCAACTGACCCGAACAGACCAGCTCAATGAACGCTGACAACGTTCAAGTCGTTCAAGTGACTCAATCTCCAAATTTGGAACGCTCATCAATGTCATCAATCAAGCACAAGAACGGCCGTGGCAATGAGGAAGCACGGGCGAGCGAATGCTTTGTTGCACAATGCTTTCAGGGCACAAGCCAAGAGCAATCGCACTCGGAAGCACCCTTCAAGATGCAGCACAATCACAGGAAATGCATTCCAGACAATATGTACAATCCGATCCCAAACAGGAAATGGAATGATCAACCAAACTGTTTTCGACAATTTTCAACCAGGAAATCTGGCCGAGCTCGAAACACGAAATGTTCGGCTCCAATTGTCATGTTTATTCACACTATTCACAACGACGCAATGCACCGACGGGCAATACCGTTCGCCCAGTTGTCCTTGCAATCCAATTCTTCATACATAAGTTGAAACACATCCTCACCAACCTGCACTCACAGTTCAATGCCTTCAAACACTATAATAAAGAACATGCACATGCACTTGCACAGCTCAACCAATTCTCACAATTCTCTTCTTTCTTATTTTTTGACATGCGCACTTTGTTCCGACCATTTCGTACCAATCGCAATCTGGGACATGCGGGACAGTCTCTCAAATGAGATTCAATTATAGAAGAGTGCAGCTGACGAAACAATGTTTATTTGTCTTTTGGAATTTTTCGAATGAAAACATGGACTCAACCAAGCTCAACTCAATGAAAACTCTGTCACGGAGGATCTCAAGATCAAGTCGAACAAACAGTGTTGACGTAATGTACTCCAAAGCAGTCGCAACCGACGAGAATGACTGTCCAACGTGTATGCGTGTGGATGATCTAGCCAGCCAAGCCAAACTATGTTGACAAAGCCAGACGCACTTGCCTTCAATAGTCACTCAAGACTTGGGCAGTCCTGAAGTCGCAACACATGTCGCAATCTTTAAATACCTTGGAAAAGACATGCATCAATAAGAGGCGACCAAAGTGTGCTTTCAAGATCAAGATATGAATGACAGCAATAGATGTGAGTTCCGTCGTCACTTCCAGCCGATGAAGGGCAATCAGCCCATAGCATCCGGAACTTGACAGAGCTTCAATCTTAGCGGCCTCAGCACATCGAGAAGGGCAATGCCGTTCAAAGACTACTTCAATACACGGACATGTCGTGACGAAGGTCTTGTCAACGAATGCCAAGAATGAGCCTAGATTCGGCAACCTTTCAACAACAAAATGGACTAGGCAAATCACGCAGGCAGTCAGCAATGAACAGCCGCAGTCAAGCTTGGCATACGATAGGACTAATGAGGACCCAATTCTGTCAAGTCCAGGGACAGCAAGGCGACAGTACGACCGTCAATCTATGACAGAGATGAGACGAGACAAAGAGGTTCCAAGGTCAACGCATCAGAGCACAAGGTACGTGCCATTCTGTGCGTGCAAGATGCAACCAACACAATCCCAAGTGTCTCCCAATCACGATTCTCTGCACGAGCACGCGTCAATAAACACATCGACAACTGTCGTGAATGAGCGTTACAAGACCGGAACGACACGAAGAGAATCTTGACAAAAGTGATCTGGTCAATCTTGCCTAACTCCAAGGACAGATCTTCTAAAGATCCGAACGGCCTTGATGGCAGTGTCAATGAATTGACCTCACCTATGTCTCACTAATCATCACCTGACGTAAGTGCGCAGACAAGCCAAGTAACACTCGAGTGCGTCTCATGTACCAATCAATCAGTACATGACGACAGGAGATTTCAAGCACCTCAACGCCAGTGAAAAGCCAATCATTCAACCTCTTGATTTCCAGAGTGGGACAATATGCACCTAAGCATACTTCAAGTTGACCAGTGACAGTCATAATCCCGGTAACAATGACCTCAAAGCGATGCAGGCCCAGGTGGAAATCTTCAATCCTCAACTCTGCAGTTGTCCTGCAGTTACCCTCTTTCCGTCGCTGCAGATATGATTGTCGACTTCCGTTTTTGCGGCTTCTGTCTTTTGTGTTCGGTAACTTGATAAAGCGAGCTTAACGTAGCACAGAAAACCCAAGGAGGCCAGCGGAAATACAGCCCTCCGGAGTGAAAGCCTACTTTGCCATGTCTTGACACATCTTCGTGGGCAAAAGTGTTTCCGTGAGCTTTCAGGGTTACCATGGTTTTCATATGTTGAATGAGTGATGCACGCTTCTTCGGCGTAGTTTCGCACTCTGTGTATGTGTGTGTGTGTGTGTGTGTGTGTGCGTGTGTGCACGTTTGACCGAATCTCCGATGTTCTCTTTGAGCTCAGCTGCCGGCATTGGCCACCGGACTCCTGGACGGGTGCGTTTACGTCTTCCAGGCGCAATGGGGCCTGCATCTGCGTTCTTTCAGAGTCCACATTTCTATCATTTGGCAATGCGGTCCCAGCACGTTGCACCCGACTGGCAGGTTCGTGTGGGCAATGGGAAGACATGGTCAGAGTGGTCTCACACCTCCAGCCCCTTCCTATTCCAGGCTTGCCACAACAGCACTATATAGTTTCTATAGTGTCTCGCTTGGCCGCGGTCAGCTGACGTCGAGGTGCCACCTCCGATCCCGCCGACAGCAGCATCATTGAAAGCCCAGAAGACAATTACAGTGGAGGCACGACCGCACATCGTCGCCCAGATTGTTCTGGCTCCTGCATCAACCTTCGTCGTATTAGGTGATGTCAGCTACAGCAGCTCGAGTGTTACTTGGACTTTTAAATTGGTGGTGATGAGGGCAGAGGATGGCAGAGGCCGGTGACCGGTGTGCGAGCTCTGCGAGCTCAGGGTCTGGGGCGACTTCAAGCCAGCACCCGGGCTGACGTTGCTCGAATACGAGGCGTGGTCACGGAAGACAAGCTGCAGTGCATCTTGCAAGTCTGAAGGTCCGGGCCACGCCGAGGCAGGAGGGCAACCCCCGAGCGAAGGCAGCTCGGCAGCAGCTCCGCTCGGTTTCCTCCGGTTTTTGAGACGAGGCTTTCCCGAGCCAAGCGATCACTTTCCAGCACCGCTACCGGGGTGGCCGGTGCCCTGGGCCCTGCCGCTTTTGGCGCGGCTGCCTGCACGAGTCGAGGCTTCATCCAACACGAGCTCTTGAACCTCCTGCCCTTCACCAGCTACACCTTCTCCGTGCAGGCAGAAGAGAGAGACGAAGAGAGAGAGAGAGAGACCTCTTTTCTCAGCTTGGCGCCCAGCTGCGGGAGGCCCGCTATCCGAAGGTGGGCATGCGCCTTTGGTCTGGACCCCACAAGGGCAACAAGAGAGAGAGAAAGAGAGAGCGAGCGCGCGAAAGCTGAAGAGCCGGCCGGGCCGGCTGTCTCTCTCTGAGGTCGGGACAGCAGGTCACGGAGCCCGTCGTCCTCGAGCCGGCCGTCGCCTACCAGGCCCTTGGCAGCGGCAGCGGCAGCAGCGGCAGCGGGGATTCCAGACGGCCAGGATCCCCCCACACCGCTGCCGGTGCCGGACACCGAAAGCGCCGTCACGGTCACGGACACTGAGGAGAGCCCAAGCCAAGCAACTTTGGGTTCTTGAAACCAACCGCTTCACCCTCCACAACTTCGTGCAAGAGACCAGCGCGCCGCGTGAAGTCTGCGCCCTTGCTAGCTGTGGCCCTGGAGCGTTTGCCAGGAGGACACAGTTTGCTGCCAGGGCCTGCAGACAGCGACACGGACTGGCACACTGCAGCCGTTGCGGAGCCTTCGTCGTTCCATCGAGGTGAGGCCATGATCGAGTTTCCTGCAGAGGAGGATGCGGACGCTTTGGGAGGGAAGGGGGGGTGATGCTCGTCGCATCTTCCGTCAGGAGGACGGGGTGCAGTACGACTTGGAGTACGCTTTCGTCTTAGGCGACGACTTGGACACGGCAGAGATGCGGGTCGCGAACACTTTGTGGCGCTCCCCGAGAGAGGCCCCCGCTGCGCGCAGCGTCGCATGCTCTTCTGAATGTTCGCTATCTCCTTCTGCTTATACGCTTTTGCTTGCCGTGATTGCTGTAGTTGTTTTGTTTGCGCATGCTCTTATTCGCTGCGTTGGTCACACTCTCCGCTCGAGGTGACCAGGCTGGGCTCCCGTGGCGTCACGCCGCACTATCGCCCGAGACCCCGGTGAAACTGCAGTGAGACTCCTTTAGCACATGGACCGAAGCCGGATCCAAGTACTTGAGAGTCACTTAAAACATGCAAGTCGCAGAAGCCAAAAAAAAGAGGGAGTCAGAGGTTCTAAGGCCGGCACGCTCGCTTGCCGCCTGTGAGGCGTTCTCCTTCCGGAGCTTCGTCCCTTCCGCGGGGATCCGCTGAAGCTGGCCGGGGCCCCGCCTTGCCCCGCCTTGCAGCCGCAGAGAACTGAGTACTCTGGCCGCCTCTGGGCCTGGGGCCCGGGCTGGGCGCGGCCTGTGAGGCGCTCCTGCAGCGCGTGCGCTTCCGGCTCCGTGCACGGCTCCCGCCGGAGGCGCGGCGCCGGGGGGCGGGGCGATGCTCCGCGCGCGCGAGAGACTCTGCGCTCTGCGCTCTGCTTCTCTGCTCTGCCAGTGCTGCGGCCGCTTGCAGCAGTGCAACTGCTCTGCCCTGCCTGGCAGGGGTCCAGCTCGCGCTGGTGGCCGGCGCCCCGGGGTGTCAGGGCGGAGTCGATGCAACGGCACCGACACCCCGCCGCCTACATGGGCGGTGCGTCGGGGTACTCGCCTTATATAATTCTTCCTCACTCTCCCTCTCGCGCCAACGACGCCCACAGAGCTTTCCGAGATGCCGCGAGGAACTTGGAGTCCACAGTCCTGGTTAGGAAGGTAGATGGGGGGATGTCATATGTATATTTCGATCTTGCCTGCAAGATGGACGTTTGGCTCGGCTTGAGCACGAGCTTGATGCTGCCACACTAGCTGATCTCGTTTCTGGTTCAATCTTACCACTGTACACTGGCCACATCTGGCCACAGACGGGTAGTGCAAGTTGTCTGCAGCAGACGACACTGCCAGCGGCTTTTCTGAAGATGGCTGAACCAGCAAATCATCCCAACAAGATTTTCTGCAGCTGGGCACAGACCGGCTTCTTGATGAGAGTTATTTGCCACGAATTCCATTTCCCAAAAGCTTTGCTTCAGCTGGCCCTGGCCTCCCTCACGAGTTTTTGCATGGCATGCTTTGTCTGAAAGCCCAAGCCTAGTCGTTGGCTGTCAAAGCCGCTGTACGGCCCGAGCCTTAGGAAACTGCCTGCGGCGCAAAGCCTAAAACCTTCAACCGCATAGCGTGTTATCACATCATGGTTAGGCACGGAGGGAACGTGTCTTGATGTGTTGAGCAGGAAAACATGGTTCTAGACAGATTGGCTTGTTCTTTAGGGTTTGAGGTTTTGGCATGTTTTGAGCCTGCGGGTTGCCATGTATCTCATGAACGAAGCCACTCGTCAGTCCCTGTTTTCCTGCTGCCCCCACTTCCCCCACTTGGGAATCCTTATCTATAGCAGAATTGGGCCATTTCGGTTTGGCGCAACCCTTATTCCGCAAGAAGGATGTGCCCAAGTCTGTTCTCAGAAAACCCCGAAGCAGAAGGCACTAGTCACTAGGCAGACGGCGTTGTCTTATGACAAGCATGTGTGGGCGTCTTCTGAAAGGTCTTCGGTGTCTCCACCAGTATCTACGGGCGCGGGGCTGGGGCTCCGTCAGAAGCTGCTGCTGCTGCCTCTGCATGCTTCTGCCGTCTGCAGATCTGATTGCAGGTTTCGCCGGTGCCGAGAATGTGACCGGATCCCTCGTCGCTGGAGCATCCGGTCTGAGCGTGGAAGTGCCCCAAGGAGAAGGAAACCGCAACACGATAGACCATGGGCAGGCAGCGTGTCAGCGATATGAGGTACGTTTCCAGTTGGACACGCGCTTGGCGGGCATGAGCCAGAAGGAGCTGCAGCTGCATCGCGCAGAGCTCTTCCAGGCCCAGCTGCCATGGGGGGGGGGGCACCGTGGGCACCGAGCCGTGGCAGGTCCTGGACTCTGAGAAGAGCGGAAGCCGGGACTCCCTGTGAGTCGCGAATTCGCGGCGACGAGCAAAAGTAAGAATTTGCCTCGAAGGCGCCTCCGCTTTGGACCCTGGAAGCTCCGCACAGAGCCTTCAGCAGCGGGGCCAAATGTTTCTTGAAGTTTAAAGCGGCGCGTTCTTTCCGAATGCTGCCGTCAGTTCTGGTCTCTGAGGGCCATGACCTGGCCGAGGGGCTTCGGGCACCCCTACACCACGAGGCGCAGCCTCGCGTGTCTTGAGGGAGGGGGTAAGCAATAGTACAAAGGGGGGCTCGCGACTGTCAGGGGTCGCCGTGTCAGCCTCGTTTGTTGGTATTCATCATTCTCACTTATATTTTCTTTCCCTTCGTGTTTCGTTTTCGTTCCTAGGGTCTAGACTTTGGAGTTATTACTTTGGTTGTCTTAGTTCTCATTACCCGTACGGTTTTTGTACTACAAGATGGTCCTGTACAGCATGTTAGGAGAGTTAGTGAAGACGATGGCACGCACTCATTTGGCTCAAGGCTCAAGGTAAAACAGCACGACCGCACGCTGTTTGCCTTGCTGTAACTGTTTGTTGCGGGTTACCCCTCAAACAACTGGTTAACAGCCTCAGCTATTCATACTTTCACTGTGTTCGTGTAGAGTGACTAGATCCTCGCCCGAGCCATAGTGATCGCCGGCACAGGCCACTCTGTGCCTTCCATATATCTTGAATTGTGCAACTAGCAGAAGTAGTTGCTTGAAATCGGTGTCGAAGAGGAGAGCGGTGACCCGCCCCCGGCCTCGGCTGCGCGGGCCTCCGACCCGTGGCCGCCGCTACCCAGGCCGAGGCTAAGTCAGCTGCAGAGCGAGGCCGCCAGAACGCTTGCTGTGTCTTTGTATGTTGTTCAGCTGTGTTTTCTAGTTACTGCAAAGAGTGAGTCCCGCGCCGCACCTTTGGCTTAACTAGTTGCTCGCTTGCTGAACACATGCATCGCACCGACACAGCTCTTGCATCGCTTGCAAAACTTTTCATCGCTTGCAAATCTTCATTAGTGCTTCACGGCCGCGAAGCCATGGACCGCCAAGGTAACAGAAAGCGCCGCATTGAGCCCTGCCCTGGGCCTCTGCCACGCGCTTTGCTCAGCCACAGTGATCTTGTGGACGCCCGGCTGCGGATTTATCGCACCGGGCCTAGCCTCGGCCGCTTAGTCCTGCTTGAGCTGCCCGAGTTCTTGCTTTCTGCCCGCACTGCAGGCTACTTACTAGGAAGCTGGTCCGACAGGCGCTGCCTTGCAAGGACAAGCCCTGAAGTGCACAGGCGCACTGCGCGCTTTTGGGATATTTCGGCACGAGACCGGCAGGTTGTGCTGGCCAACATTGCGCCCTAGCCGCCCTTTCTGTTGCACTGCCATGCCTAGCACTGTCTCTGCTTCTCTTTGGCTTGCGCTCGGCTACTGGCGCCGCTCAGCATTGCACAGTTTTTTCCGAGCATGGCACAGCCTCGTCTCCTTTGCTCGCATTGCAGCGGCGCCTCCTGGCATCGACGACCGCCTGAAAGAGGTCCTCGCTCTGGCCTCGCCCGCGTGGTCGCCCCGCACAGCGCTGCACAGACATCTTCTGAACAAGCAACAAAATTTTTGCGACGCACTGCTGCTCAAGTTCTTCTCGCTCTGGCATAGCGCCGCTCTACTTCTGCAGTATAGGAACAGCCTCGCACAGGACCTTGATGCCGGGCTCCGCCCAGAGCCGGACGCAGAACCCGCGCCGCAGCCCAGGTCTATTCTACATGTGTGCGCCGAACTCCGTGCCTGGTACTGCATTGTTGCTGCTTTGGACTATTTTGCACTGCGCCGCTTGCGCTCTGCCAACTCTCCGCGCTCCGAAGCACAAGCGCAGCACAGCTCCGGCCCAATTTTCTTTCAGTGGCTGGTCGCCCTGCTCTGGTTTGGCTCCGTGGCTGCATATTGCCCACCTTGATTTGCATCGCACAGCCTGTGCCGGGGGACGAAGGCCACCCCCGCGCGCTGATTGACTTCTTATAGATTGATGGCCGCTCTGCATCGAAGCCGCCCTGACTTTGCACACTTGAAGCTGCCGCGCCCTGACGACCAAAAGCTCTTTTGTTTCAATTGCACCGCGTGCTCAGGTCAGCTGCCCCGCTGGGCTTAGAGTGCTGGCACTGAAGCACCGCGTGCTAAGGTCGGCTGCCCCGCAAGGCCCGATTTGCTGGGCCGTGGCCGCCCCGCCCTCGCGCCTAGCCTTTTTGACGGTGTTTTGAGCACCTTTCTACTCAGGTCTGACCGCACAGCTGACTTTCCTTTTCGCCCTGGCCGGGGCTCAGCTTTTACTTGTTCGTTCGCTCGACGCGCCGGCTCGCTCAGGCCTTGCTTTCTCTGCGCCGAGATGCACCGCTGTGCTTTTATTGCCCCGCCCTGCCCTGACCTGCCCCCCGCCCTGTCAGGTACGTCTCTGCAACCTCGCCGTCGTCGACACCAAGGACCGTCTTTGCCATACCCCAGCACTGTGTGTTCGTTGCACCGCATCGGGTTCAGCCTCTATCTGCGCTCGGCACCAGCAGCCTCTTTGCTTCTAGCATCCCACTGACTTCCCAGCCTGCACTGCACTGCACATCATGTCGGGGATGAGCAGCATTCTCCAAGCCCTGCTCGCACAGACGGGGCCGGACCGCGTCGCAGCGTTCCGCCACCTCAGCAATGCCCAGATGCAGCAGCTTTTGGAGGAGCTACGCCAAGCACAGAACACCCGCTTCGGCCACACAGGAGCAGGAGTGGGACCATGGCATCGCAGCGCGACGCCTGGATGAGTTGCCGGGACCGGCCCCGGCACAGACACAGCACCACGGCTATAGCAAAGGCCCGCCGGCACTACGACGACTACGATGCAATGCGCGGTCCGGCCCCGCGATGAGCCGACAGCACCGACGACGGCAACGAGGAGCACTGGAGCCTGGCACAGCACCGACCAGCCTCGCCAAGGCCCAGCTTCCTGGGGACAGCAAGGTGGAGATTGGAGCTATGCACAGCCCGCAGAGTTCGGGAACCCTCCGCCGGCACCGCAATCGGCACCGGACCCCGCACCGGTACAAGCACCGGTGCCCGCAGCGTTCTGGCCTCTGCCCCGCCCTCGCGCCGACCAGCCGCACGGGGCACTGACGCCAAGCGAGCGGGTCACGACCGAGATAAAGTATGTGCGCTGCAAAAATGGTGAGCTCCGCCGCCGCCGCCCCCTCTTCAAGCACAGCAGTGGCAGCTGCGCAATCGCCTGCCAAATTTCGAGCTGCGACTATGGCAGACCGCCCTGCGCGAAGCAAATTCACGATCCGTGGGACCGCGACGTTCACGAAGTGCACCGTTGCTCGAAGTGCAAACAGGCCGGCAAGTAGCCAAGCACTGCCGGCCTCGCACAGCACAGCTTTTTGGCACGCACAGCTCTGTATCGACAGCATTGCCCCGCACGCTTCGCAAAAGCCTGCGCCTTTCGTTCTGAGCGCCCTCGATTCAGCCTTGCTTTGTTTTTCTTTCAGTTGCCCTGCCCTGCAGGACATGCACCGGCTCCGCTCAGCCGGCCTTGCTCCGCGAGCTCGGCCCAGGAGGTGCACTCGCGATCTTCTTCGGCCCGGCGCTCGCTTCTTTGCCCTGTTGCCTCGGTCTTGTAAGTGCGGTTTTTCTTTTGTCGGGGCTGCTTTCGTTCAGGGTAGCCTTTTTTGGTGCAAGCCTCTTTGCGCTGCTGCCCCTCCCCTTTCAGCGCGCAATGCGCCGCCGTTGGGCATCACAGTCAGCCGAGCGCGGGGTCCGCACAGACCCCAAGACGCGCCCAGCCCGAGTCGAAGCCAACTCCCGCGCAGAGGGCAAACTTCAGCCGAGCACAGATTCGCAAAGGTCCTTGGTCAGGCCCGACAGCACCGAAGAATGCGCCAGCTCTGCTTCGAGCTGGCCTCTCCCGTCGCCTGCGCCGCAGCCTCGCACTGCACATAAGCCCGTGGGTTTTGCTTCCATTCAGCATAAGCATGGGAACCTGCCGCGGGTGTCGGATTTGGCTAAGCCGCCAGCCCAGCTTGCTCCCTGCCCCGGGTGGACTTGCCGCCGGCGGCGGCCCCGGCCTCGGTCGCCCAGCCACAGCCCAGCCTCCAAGCCGCAGCGGGTCTGCAACTCCTCGACGCGTGCCCGCTCTGAGGCCAGGATGCAAGCCTGTGGCACCGCCTGGTGCCAGTCTCAAACTTGGTGCGGCTTCGCTCCTCTGCCTTTCCCTTCAGCCCTGCAAAGACCCGACCCAGCATTGCCTTGCGGTTGTCGCGTCCTCCCGGCCCGGCACCCTGCCTGGAGGCCTAAAATTAATACCTGGGCGCTAATTTTGGCCGGGCGCAACGGCGGGGGCCGCTAATTCAAATCACCGGGAAATTTCTTCACGGTCATTTGTGAACAAAATGACTGGTGACAATCCGGACGGTGAAAAAATCCCCGGTGACAATCCGGGGGCTGAAAAAATCACCGGTGAGAATGCGGTCTGCCAAAAGCTCCCGACGGAGACAAAAGTGGCATGGAAAGCATGGCTTGCAGATAAAAAACTTGGTTATGAGCCCAAACAATTCGGATGAATGGGTGGTTGTGGCCACTTCATGTACAGAAATCACAGGGTATGTATAGGTTTTCCTTCCGATGCACAGTGCAAAGTGTTTGTTTTTGCGATTCCTTGGCCGGTTAGGACGGCTGCATGCACTCTATTACACTTGGTGAGGCTCAAAAAGAAAAACTTTATAAGGTTAACCCTAAGTTATTTGGCTCAATTAATGGCTCAGACGATGCCTGTGCTGTGTGCGAGGTAAAAAAACCCTATATATATAACCCTCTAAATTCCTTAACCATATACAGGCACGCACACACACACACACACATACATGTGTATATCTATATATATGTTAAATACATATATATAGTATACATAAATAAATAAATATCTATCTATATATGTATATATATATATACGAACTACACTTGCATGGCACACGTGCACACTCTCCCTCTCTCTGTATCTCTCGCTCATGTTTCTTTTTTGGGAATTCCAGCACGCCTGGCAGGCCGGCTCGAGCTCCTGAGCAGCGACCCAGCATGCAGAACAGGGCCGAGTTTGCAGTCCATAAACATTCATGCACAGAGCAGCCTATCATGCAGCTAGCT